CCTCCTTGATAACACATCAGCTACAACATTTTCCTTTCCTTACAAGGTTAGCAACCCGTACCTCCTTGATAACACATCAGCTACAACATTTTCCTTTCCTTTCTTGTACTGAATCGAGTAAGGAAATGTGTCCACGAATGCTACCCATCTTGCATGCCACTTGCTAAGCTTTTGTTGACTCTTTAAATGCTTTAATGATTCATGGTCAGTGTGAACAATTAATTCTTGTGATCGAAAACAGTGCTGCCATGTTTGAAGTGCACAAACCAACGAGTACAATTCTCGGTCATACGTCGAATAGTTGAGGGCAGCCTCACTCAGCTTTTCACTGAAGTACAAAATTAGCTTCTTTCCTTGCATCAAAACAGCTCGAATCCCAATTCCTGAGGCATCACATTCCAATTCAAATGGCTTAGTAAAATCCGGTAGAGCTAAAACAAGAGCATTAGTAAGTTTTCTCTTAAACAAATCGAAAGATGCTTGTTCAGAAACTCCCCAATCAAAGTGTTTATCTTTCTTTGTAAGCTCAGTCAGTGGTGCTGCAATGGAGCTAAAATCTCACACAAAGCGGTGGTAAAAGCTTGCAAGTCCAAGGAAACTACGAACTTCCTTAATCGTTTTAGGTGTTGGCCAATCCCGAGTAGCTTGTGTTTTTAGCTTCATCCACACTTATCCCTTCAGCACCTACAACAAAACCAAGAAAAATACATTTGTCGACACAAAATTCGCACTTCTTCCGGTTAGCATAAAGCTTTTCAGCTCTTAACATTTCCAAAACACTACGAATATGCTCTACATGTTCTTCCATTGATTTACTATAAATGAGAATATTATCAAAGTAAACCACAATAAACTTCCTTATAAAAGTATGTAGTACATGATTCATTAGCCGCATAAATGTACTTGGAGCATTTTCGTAAGGCCAAAAGGCATGACTAACCACTCATATAAGCCGAATGTAGTTTTAAATGCAGTTTTCCATTCGTCACCTTCCCTCATTCTAATCTGATAATATCCACTTTTCAAATCAATTTTAGAAAAGTATTTTGACCCATGCAGTTCATCTAGCATATCATCTAAACAAGGAATAGGGTGTCGATACTTTACCATTATGGCATTTACGGCTCAACAATCGATGCACATCCTCTATCCATCATCCTTCTTTGGGACAAGAAGAACCGGTACAGCACAAGGGTTTAGGCTTTCATGAATCCAGCCTTTGTCAAGCAACTCATCCACTTGCTTACGTATTTCCTTGACTTCCTATGGACTTGCCTTGCAAGTTGGACGATTTGGAATTGATGCACTTGGAATGAGATCCATCTGGTGCTCAATGCCCCGAATAGATGGTAATCCTCCGGTTACTTCATCAGGAAACACATCTTTTGATATTTCTGCAAAAGAGAAGCAACATTGGAAGGGAGTTCCATTAGCTCTTGCTTAGACAAATAAATAGGTTTAATCAAAAGTAAATAAGAACTTCCCTCGTGAACTTTCAAATTTTTTGCCTCTCAAGCTCACAAGCATTTTTCTTTCAAGCTCACTTTTGTGTTGTTCACTCACTTGCTCTCTTTTGTCACTCTTTTTTTTTCGCTCTCACTTTTCTCACTCCCATGCTCAATTTTTTCACTCTGATTATTTTTACTTGTTTTCCTTTCTCTCTTTTCTTTGGCTTCTTCCAAAAATTGATGATGCATGTAGAGTTGGTCTTCATGGACATCCATTGGAGACAACGGCTTCAAACATATTTTTCTACTCCTAAACTCAAATGAGTATCTATTCAAATATCCATCATGATGAGCCTTTCTATCAAACTTCCATGGCCTCCCAAGTAATACGTGACAAGCTTGCATCGGTAGCACATAACATACGACTTTATCCTCATAATTTTTTATCTTAATAGGAACCGTCACCTGCTTGTTCACATTCAACTCTCCGCAATTGCTAACTCACTGCAATTTGAATGGTTTGGGGTGGGGTGTTGTTAGCAAATTCAATTTTCGGACAACAAGTTCACTTACAATATTTGTGCAACTCCCACTATCAATAATGAGGCTACACACTTTGCCTCCAATTATGCAACGAGTTTGAAAGAGATTTTCTTATTGTTCCTCATCAAAGGTCCTTGACATAGTGCTTAAGGCTCGTAAGGTAACCAAACTCAAACCAACACCAGAATCAGAGTCATCATCCGTGTTATTTTCCTCATTTACTCTTTGATCAACCCTCTCCTCATTTTCAGATTCCGTCTCGTATTCCCCAAACTTATTGAGGATCATTGTTTTCTTGTTTGGGCATTGACTTGCAATGTGGCCTCAACCTTGACATTTGAAACAAATGATATCTCGATTCCTCGGCTTCTCCGGATCAGCGCCAACATGTTTGTTCTGTGGCGTGTCATCCTTGATAACACCTTTTCCTTTACCAAACCCTTGGGCCACTTGGGTTTTGTCATCCTTCTTGGTATAATTTGGTGTGAAGGGCTTCATACCGAACCCTTGGGCCACTTGAGCTCTACAATGTAACCAATAGGAGATAATTACAATATATTGTTTTAATTGATTGATGCCATTGATAGATATTGAACCTGTGCCTTTTGAAGAATCTAGTAGAAAGTATATTAAAGCCATAAATGAATAGAAATGAGAGGTCAAGAGGTACAAATCCCAGTTGGTAGCGAAATTCTACAATCAATACCATGGAGTTAATTATGAAGAAGTATTTACCCCGACGGCTCGGTTGGAAAGAATTATTATATTGATCTCTCCTTTGAACCAAAATCAAATAACAATAGAGAAATTGGATGTTGAGTCAGCATTTATCAATGTGTCTGTAATGGAGGACATGGTTTTTGAGCAAACACTTGGCTATGTTGTTCAATACCATTAAGATAGAGCCCTAATATTTAAAAACAGCACTCTATGGGGTGCAAGAGCATGGAATCCTCAGGTTGACAAGTATTTGCAAAAGATAGTCCTCAATATTCCAAAGTTAGTTTGTACTTTGTATAAATGTGGAAATGGGCATGTGCTATTTTTTTTTTTTTTTTTGGTCTACATATATAATGTTATTGTAGCTGGAAGCAATTCAAGAATGGCTGAAGAATTCAATAAGTCTATGGCTCAAGAATTTGAAATGGATGGTATGGGGCTAATATTACATTACTTCCAAATTCAAGTAAATCAAATGGAAAAAGATATCTTCATATCCAAAGAAATACTATGCAAAAGAAGTACGAAAGAAGTTTGACATTCTTGAAAACAAACTTGTGAATGCATGCATAGATAATGGAGCAAAGTTGTCCAAAACAAAGATGATGATGAATGTATTGACTCCACTTTGTTCAAAAGTCTTGCTTGAAGTCTAAGGTACTTTAATTTCACTAGAATCGGCATTTTGTTTTTCTTGCTAGTTGTGAGCCATTATATGGAAGTTCCTAGGAAGCCATGTTGAACGGAAAGAGAATACTTTGATATAATAAATGTATTATTGGTTATGGCCATTTCTATTCATCCTCAAATACTTCCAATTTCATGGGTTATTACCATAGTTATTATGGTGGATATTGGTTACAGGAAAAAACCACAGTGGAATCTTTATTTTTCACGGGGAATAATGCAATTTTTTGGTACTCAGTGAAACTTATCAATTTGTTTTTCTTTCTACTTGTTAGTTGGGATATGTTTGTACAACATCTAGCAATTGTCATGCTAGCTCTGAATATTGTGGAGAGAACTCCAGTTTGATGATATGGAAGCCACAACAATCATGGATTGAGAACAAGTTGCTATAGCCTTGGCCACATAATCATTTACAACATGATTATAGTGAGCATATTGATACTTTCTTTTGTGTTATTAGAGAAAGCATTGAGAAGAAAGTGTACCTTCAATATGCGGAGTGAAAGAATCATATTGCTGAATATTTACAAAGCCACTAAACATTAAGGACTTTCAAAAGATATGGGATGCTTTTGGAGTGATAAATCAAGTTTGAGGAGTGTTTACAGAGAGACTTGGTGGCTTACTAAGTTTTGAAGAATTTAACAAATTCTTAAACATGGTTTATCTTGAATAATTTATACTATTAATGTGTCTTTTTTTTATGGGGAAATCAAGGGTTTATATATATAAATAAATAATATAATAATAAAAAATTACCGCCGGGCATACCCGGTAAACCACAATTAATCAGAAGTCCACCAAGGGCTTAAATCCGTTAATCCTAATACAATAGTAAAAAATGGGTAACTAGGCCCAAACAGAAGGATCAATAGCGAAGTTTTCCAAGGCGGCAAGGCCCCTTTAGTCACTCAAAACAACGTCCCACTTCCACTTGGGAACGAGCAGGATCCCCAAAAAGAAGCATAAGTTTGTACCGAATATGGAACAGCCCCTCATGAAGTGAAAAGCAGATTTTTCCAGTTGATGAACCTCAAATTTTTGCAAGCTGAAGTAGCGATTGTGAATCCATTTTACCTATAAAGATTCTTTGTCCGATCGGATAAGCTGAATTCTCGCAGCATAAGAAAGGTTACAATGACTCCGTTGTTGGATATATTTGGAGATAGATGAAATCAAACCATAAAAGTAAGAGACTTTTGACTTGCCCGGACAACTTTCACACCAAGGTACTTGAAAGGGGTAGATCCCTTAGAGAAACCAGTGACATCAATCAGCTGGTCACTTATGTCCGGGGGAGTGCCTGCAATAAAAATATTAAACTTGGCCACATTTAATGCGCCTTTTCAATGTATTTAATGGGTAGTAGTAGGTAATATGAATGCAGTTTTTAAGTCAATGAAAGTGAGTTTCATTCAAGTGCTGTTTTCGTCTCTTGCAAAGCTTCGTTATCATAGTTTGTTTTAGTGTTCTTCCCATCTCAAATATTAGTAACTTTAATGGTCACATTTAAAATAAATTTGTTATATGCAATCTTGAATCTTATCCCTTTATAAGAATATAATAAACTGGTAATATTTGTGGTGTTATTGTCTTCAGGTACTTGTGGCCATAATAGATTAGATATCAGAGGGATCGAGAGATGGCTGTGGCTGCTTATGCATCGTCGGTATCTCTTACTCATGTCCTCGATAATGTTCATTACCGTGCTAAGTTTTGTCACTTTAATGTCGATGTAAAGCGAATTGAATCAATCCAGGAAGGTATCAAGTCCCTGTTAGAGTTTGTTGAGTTGAACCATAAAAGAAAAGGTCAGAAGATTGAAGATCTTTGGAGGAAAATATCAAAAATTAATTTGGAGGTCGAAGAATTTTTTGACTTATATGTTGTGAGTCAACTTCAAAAGGTATCTAAGGGAAAACGTAGTGATAGGCGCATGAGAGCATTTGATAAGGATTTGGACACTATGATCAAAAAGATTGACTACATCAAGAAAGAGCTGTTGATGGTTGAAGTGGTAGTGGAGGAGATCATGGAAGGAAAACAATCCAAAGCTTCCGTTCCTTCTGTCCATTCTTCAAAAGCTGCATCATCTATTGCAAAGAAGAATATTGTAGGACTTGACGAACATGTGGTCAATATTAAGGGTGAGCTAGCTAGATATGATGACAATCTCCAAATCATCCCAATCGTCGGTATGGCAGGTATTGGAAAGACTACTCTTGCTAAAGTTGTTTATGATGATAAATATGTTGTTGAACGCTTTGATATGCGCATTTGGCTTACAATTTCTCAAGAGTATAGTGTCAATGAAATCCTTCTCGGTCTAATCAATGACGGAATAGTTGAAAGACATAGTGGATATTTTGATGGTCCTGGAGAAGTGTTGCATAAGAAACTATATGGCAGAAGATACTTGATTGTAATGGATGACATATGGACTCTTCAAGCCTGGTATGATTTAAGGAGATTCTTTCCGGATAATGTGAATGGAAGTCGGATTATCATAACCACTAGACTGTCACATGTTGCTGCTTCTTTAAGCTCTCACGACCCTTACTCAATGACATTTCTTGATAAGAATACAAGTTGGAATTTATTTTGTAAAGTCGTCTTTGGAGAAGAAACTTGTTCACATCCAGAACTGGAGAAAATTGGAAGGGCAATCGTGAGAAATTGCAGAGGACTTCCTCTACAAATTACTGTTATAGGTGGATTACTTGCAAAGTCTAGCTTCGAGAAAGATTTTTGGAAATCAGTAGCTGAAAATGTGAGTTCCTTTGGTAATTCAAGTGATGGCGACCATTGTTTAAACATATTACTTTTGAGTTATGATAATCTTCCTATACATCTCAAACCATGTTTCCTCTATATGAGAAACTTTCGTGAAGATGCTGAAATTGATGTCACCCATCTAATTAGATTGTGGGTTGACGAGGGTTTCATAAAGATTAACGGAGATAAAATTTTGGAAGAACTTGGTGAGGAATACTTGAAAGATCTTGTTAACAGAAATCTAATTTTTGTTCGTGAGCACACATCCTGCAAGGAAGAAATGCTAACATGCGGCATCCATGATCTTTTGCGAGACCTATGCATTAGCATATCTAAAAAAGAAAATTACTTGTGTTCTCCAAGAGTGCAAGTCGTCAAAGCAGAATATAGGAGGTGTTTTCAATGCGGAAGTTTTATAAGAGCTGATGAAAGAATAGATGATTCTGTATTTGTTTTTCCATCAACTTCACATGGTAATCCTCCTTTTTGTGGCAGCTGTAGAAGGACTTATTCACATATCAAGGACCTAAGATTGGTTAAGGTTGTGCATAACAAAGTTAGTGGTTGCGATTCACTTGTACAACACACAAAATTACGCAGTGTCTGTATTTTAATGTTTGAACCTCCAAAGTTCATATCTCCTTCAACACTAATTTTGCTATGGAACCTTCAGAGTTTGTTATTTACGGAGTCACGTGTGGTAATTTTACCGCCTGAAATCTGGATGCTACCACAACTTAGAGTTATTGAATGCAAATGTGTGGTGTTTCCTAAGCCTCCTGTTGTTCATGGGGAAGAGACAAAATTGTTTATGCTGAAGAACCTGCAGAGCCTTACCGTTGCAAAAAATTTTGTGCTCACTGAACTGATTCTTGATGGAATCCCCAATTTGAAGCAACTAGAAATAGAGTATGAAAAGCATATGGGACGATTGGATACTTCTTTGTGTAATGTAGCCAGATTACAAAAACTTGAAGTACTACACGTTGCTGATACCTTACAGAACATTGGCTTTCCAAGTTCACTGAAAGAGCTGGTTCTGAAGAGATGCGCCATTCCTTGGAGTTGTATGTCAATAGTTGGTTCACTACCCAATCTCGAAACTCTCTACTTGTGGCTTACCGCAAAAGGCTCTGAGTGGGATCCAACTGAAGGGGAATTTCTTCGACTAAAAGTTTTGGCGATTTGGGGTAGTGATTTAGCACAATGGAGAGCTGATCAACACCACTATCCTGCACTTGAAATTCTTATATTGTTCAGCTTACGTTCTTTGGAAGAAATCCCTTCAGGTATTGGAGATATACCAGCCCTGCGCGAAATTCATTTGAGAAATTGCAGTAAGTCTGCTATGGATTCGGCATACCGTATATTAGAGGAACAACAGAGTGTGGGAAATGATTTCCTCAAGATTAACGTCTATGGTGATTCTAAAGATGAAGACACAGATGAAGACGACGAACCTCAAGTTGAAGATGAAACTGATGAGTGAGTCTGATGGTCCTAAGGATGGAAGAAGAAGATGATGATCATGGTATGTATATCTATCGAACTTTTGATCACTTATCATAATTGTTTTGTGTCTTCTAACTTCTAAATTGGTTTCAGGGTTTACTTTCGGAAATAAGAATTGAAGTCATAATGGATGATTACCAAAACTTATTCAGCTTTCAGAGGTTTAGTAAGGATGAGAAATGTTGTTTCTTGCTTTGTATCATTGGCAATGTATTATTAATAATAGTGACAAATTGCTTGATTTACTTTGGTTGTTTTTAGTTTGTTTCTGCCTAAACAAAAGACATTATTGTTATGTGTGTGGGATGATATATTTAAAGTCTATGTTGGCTTCTTCGCCGTTACCATAAATAGGTGTGTCATCCTTTTTTTCTATTATCTCTATGGTGTGTTTGTTTGAAGGTTTGGATTTTGAGTTGGGATTTGAATAGTAAAAATTTTGAATTTGAATAGTTGTATGATGTGATATAAATAGGTGATGATGTGATGTTTTGAATGTAAAATTGATTTTTAGTATAATATAAAAAATGAAAAACGGAAGTTTGATTTGATGTTTTTGGAGGAAAAAAATGGGATGAATAGTAAATTGAAAATCCAATCCCCCAAACAAACAAACCCAAGCTTGAAGATTTCTAATGTTTTCTTATTGATTAATTTGTATGTATAAGCATGGAAAGCTTAGTGACTGATGAGTATGATCAAACATGATCCATTTCGAGGACGATGAACAAGGGCCATGCTCACGTTAAGGCAAACAACCGAACAGTTTATCTTGGCTCAGAATTTTTAGAAATCAAGAATTCTGCATAGGCAAGAAGCCTCTATTGTCATTTTTGTAAAAATCCAGACAAGATTATTTACTCCAAAGATCGTTTCTTGAATTATTCTAGCTACATATTTGAACTATCATAGACAACAAAAGTACATACTCTATTCAACAAAAAGCATGGCTAGAAGATAACTCAGAGGGTCCATCTAAAGATTTAGTACATCTTGTGAATTTTTAAAATTGAAATAGGTAACAAACACAAGGTTCGTCTAGAAATAAAATAAAACAATAGTCAAGATGTAGGGACTTAGAGATCATTTTCAGCACAGTTAATTTAAGGTAACAGAAAAAGTTTTCGATGGGATGGGATGTGAAAAAAATAAAAGTCATCGAAACTTACCAGTGAATACATGATGGGATGTGAAGCCTAATAAAAACTTCCATACTGAAAAAATTTAGAAGTAATTATATGTGCTGTGCAAAATTGTCTATAGTACTTCCGACTATTTCGGACTATTGTACAAGCTTAAATATTTTGTCTTTTATTTTTTTATTTTCAGTTGTTTGAGTAGAGTATAGCTAAAATATAGACACTGTAACAATTTAGTTCGGTGGGTTCTTCTATTTACAAAGAATTTATAAGTAAAAGAAATGAGCAGAATGAATAACAAACTCAATATAGTGTCTTACATACATGAACAACTACCGCTGCAAAACCTTGTAAGAAAATATTGCTTAGTCATGGACTTATGTAGTGAATACATGGTGATTCAGATTGAGAATAATATTTTTTACCTTGGATTTGAGAGAAAAACTAAATTTACTAATGGTGTGTTTTTATAGGCTGTAGTTAAGGGATGTATAATTATCACTCAACTAATTTCAATAATGATTTAGTTTTTAAAATTCTAGTATGAATTTAAGTAGGTGGCACCAGACCATCCATCCGAAGAAAGGTAAAAAAACCATTTGTTTCAATATCTTTATTATAATTATTATGTTGTACTATTAGTATAGGATTAGCCAATAGAAATATTAATTATCTCTACCGCTAACCACTATTTTAATATATTGTATATTATATATAATATATATGTGTGTGAATGGTATGTGTGTATATATATATATATGATATATATGCGGACACTGTATAAATATAAATACATATGTATGTGTATGTTTGATGTTGATGTATGTATGTATGTTTGAGATGATGGTGATTCTTGATAAGATATGTAATAAATGCTTGTAAGAGAAACAAGAGAAAGGTATAGAGGGAAAAAGATGAGTGCACTTCGTAGTTTCATTAAGCAAACACATATATATATATATAGGTGCAAATTTTGGCTACTGAAGGATATATAAAACAGCCACATAAATGCTACGTAAATGACATGTATTGTACACATATTGCATTGTAGACATAACGTGTCACAACACTCCCTCTTGGATATTTTCATACAAAGAATGTGTCTCGTAAAAAGTTTACTAGGAAAAAACCCTGTTGGAAAAAATTCTATAGAAGAAAAAAGAGTACACCATTCTTATATTGATTCTCCCAATAATCTGAGCATTATTTGAGATTCCTGAACCTGACATATTTCAATTTTCTTCACCAATTTTCAAATGTTGCCATCGGTAATGTCTTGGTTAATATATCCGCCAAATTATTATCTGATCGGATTTTATGCACATTAATTTCACCATTTTGTTGTAGATCATGATTAAAAAAGAATTTTGGTGAAATATGTTTCGTTCTATCAATTTTAATGTAACCCCCTTTCAATTGAGTTATACAAGTCATATTATCTTCATACAATGTAGTCTGGGAAATTCTATCGTCGGGTATTAACCCGCAATTTTTTAGAATATGTTGAGTCATTGATCTCAATCAAACACATTCTCAACCAGCTTCCTATATTGCCAATATTTCAGCAATATTTGAGGAAGTGACAGTTAAAGTTTGTTTCATCGATCTCCAATAGATCACTGTTTCGCTACAAGTGAATACATAGCCAGTTTGAGACTTGATTTTATGAGGATAAGACAAATATCTTGCATCGGCAAAACAAATCAATTCATGTCAAGAATCTTTCGAGTAAAATAACCCGAAATCAATTGTTCTTTGGAGATAAGGAAAAATTTGCTTAATCCCGTTCCAATGTCGTCGAGTAGGCGATGAACTGAATCTTGCCAATAAATTTACAGCAAATGATATGTCAGGTTGGGTGCTGTTAGCAAGATACATCAATGCGCCTATAACACTCATATATGACACTTATGGGCCAAGTGTTTCTTCATTTTCTTCTTTTAGTCTAAATGGATCATTTATTGGATTGAGTACCCTGACGATCATTGAGGTTCTTAGCGGATGTGACTTATCCATAAAAAATTTTTGTATTCTTTTGGTATAATTTGATTGGTGAATAAAGATTTCACTTTTCAAGTGCTCAATTTGCAAACAAAGGCAAAATTTGGTTTTTTCAAAATCTTTTATCTCAAACTCCTTTTCTAGATATTCAACAGCTTTTTGAATTTCATCTGGAGTTTCAATTAAATTGAGATCATCGATATATACAACGATGATTACAAATTCAGACCCATTTTTTCTTTATAAAAATACATTGACTGATAGGGTCATTTATGTAACTTTCTTTTGTTAGGCTTTTGCTGAGACAATTGTACCACATTCAACTTGATTGCTTGAGCCCACATAAAGATTTTTCTAATTTGATGGAATATGATTCTTTTGGCTTTGATTTGAACGATTAGGTATGTTAATCCCTTTTTGTCAATGAACAGTGACAGAGCAGAGAAGATAACAAATAACTGCTTTAATGATCACTTAGTGAATGGTGTTTCACTCGAAAACTTAGAAAGATCACATGTGAGGGAAAAGTGGGGCCGCTTCAAACGAGAACTGCTTAGGCTAAGTTCTTTAGAAACCCTCGCAGAACCAGGACGGGTTATGGCCAAAACGGACCAAGCAATGAGAACCGAACTAGGCACATGAATTATGTGTCGGTATATAGCCCACTTACTATAAAAATTGAACAATTCAAGAATAACGTGTCCACTGGACAATTGGTAAAAACTACGTATTGTTCAAAGGAAATCCACTTATCCTATGCAGAATTCATCTTTCTTTCAACGAGTTATCGTTTTCCTCTTCCATGTGGGGATTGTTGGATATTTAATTAAAAATGTGAAAGATGAATAAATGATTAGTCCCACAATTTTTATCTTATTAATTATTTTGATTTGGAAAAAAATTTAATAATCAGATAAAGTAGTTTGTTGCAACTTAATGCAACGTGCGACATTGACAGCTTTTCTTATTCACGGATTAAATACAAAATAATCTAAAAAATATAATATATATTATATTTGATATATGAAAACTTTTTCCTTCTAAATTTTTGGAAAATTATCCGCAAATTTTCTTTCAAAAGTTTTCTAATTCGGTTTGCGGAATCTGTTATAACTCGTTCTATCATAGAGGCGATCGGTGGAGGGCCGAATTCGCTATAAGGAAATCGCATTCCACGCGAGGCTCGGAATTGATTTTGCATTCTATCTAATTATGTGTTTTCGAATTTCGCCATATCTCATATTTCGCCAAAACTATTTTCCAACCGTTTTAAATTTGTTCATGTTGAGTTACACACAACAAATTAAACATAGACTCCTGTTCATTGTTGTTTTTATTGTTGTTGTTGTTTGACGGTTACAGTGTATTTTTTGCCTAAAAATCTGTGAAATGTATTTATGGTTCAAATTATTTTTTTTATGGGCTCACAGGGGAAGAAAATTCTAACTCCTTCGAATTGTTGGCATTTGGAAAAGAAGAAAAATTGTTCTAAAATTTTTAATATAAAATAGTATTTATATCATGAATAGTCTATTGAAAATTCAGTTCTTCCCCTATGCAAACCCTAATTCGGCATGTGGTTATTTATAAATTTCTCTTGTATATGTTATAGTGTATGCTTTAGACTTGTAAATGAATGGTAAGAGTTTTTTATGCAATTTTGTTCTTATCTTCTTTTGGCAGTTCATAAACATATATTCCAAACTTTAGTGAAATGGAAGTGATAGAGATCATTTCAAGTGTGTAAAACTTTGATTCTCAAATACATTGTATCCATTTCAACTTATCTTCTTTTGGCAGTTCATTGAAGGAAACCTAGTAACAAGAGAGTTTTAAGCACTTCAACAGAGCAGCAACCGGAGCTCGACTTCTATATTCCTACAGGAGCATTCTATTACCAGAATCCACATCCAACAACTAGGGATTGTGGATTCATTCCGGTATTCAATCATATGTATCCTGCAGTCGGAGCACATAATCCGTCCTGGTCTCCTAGGAACGATAATATGTCTTCAACATGGACAACTGATGAAACCATCTCATTTTTCTGCACATCCAGCTCATTATGGTAATGCACCAAACTCTATGCAGCCAATGTCAAGTGTTAACCAGGCAAGACCAAACACATTTTGGACATCTTGCATTACCTGCTAGAGACATTTTGAGTGCCAGAATGTGCATTTGACTCTAGAGTGCCCTCAGTGCAAACAGCCTTTCCATATTTAAAAGCTCCTGGCTCACACTATTCAGAAGTGTGGCATCCAAAACAAGTGAAAACTACAAAAACGCTGCTCGGGGAATGGTAGATCTATCTCCAGCTCTGAATGCGGCCTTTAGCAATATTCCAAGCATTGAGGAATCGAAGAAGAAGAGCATTGTTGATGGCCCTCTAGGTGATAGTTCAATAGGTATCCAATCAGAGCCTACCAAAAACAAATCATTGAAAAAGCCTGATACAAAAGGTTTATCGAATATTGAATTATGCGAGCTTCTATTGAAAAAGGCAAGATGGCACTAGCTAGTAGGGCAGCATGAGGAAATTTTAGATGGAAAACTAAGTGAAGATAGGCAGAAGAATCTCTGGAATGAACAAAGTTGGATGAGTCTTATGTACTTCTCATTACAATGTGCATGGCAAAGGTTTCCCATATGGAGTGGTAAAAGGTTGTAATTTGTTGAGGATGTTAACTTTTGATATACTCTGTAGTTGGAAATTTATCTGTGTAATTTAAATTTTTATTTCTTGAATTTGGATGACTAATTGATGGAATTATTAAGTAATGGGATAATTAGATAAGACAATGTGCTGAATAAATACGGCTAAGGCAATGAGACTTTCTTTATAATTATCTAAATGTTATGTTAGTTAAAATGTGTGGGAATTGTCACAGTTGTACAACTAACTCTTTTATTGGCTTTTCTTGTCCAAATAAACGATTTCAACGTTCAATTCCCATTTTTCTACTCGCGTGACTTAGAGCTCAAGCTATAACAATCTGGTGGCTGGCACCACTTCCTACAAACTTGTTGTGCCCAGCTCGCCATCTAACTGGAAGAGGTTTTGCTGTCTGTCACACCAAGTTTGCAGAGAACTATCGACTTTATTCAAGAAGTCATTTGTAAAACTGGATGTATTATTTGTTAAGACTGAAATAAAATGTATGTACATGCCCACAGTTGCAAGTATGTAGTTGCCTTGTAAAGCCACGAACTTGCTTGTTTGTGCCAGTTTCATGCATTCTTTTTAAGAGAAAGTGTAGTCCTGTTTCATGCATATATATTTTTGAGACTCGATATATTTCAGTGACCAAGTGTATTTTTCTCAGCCTGGAAATTGCACTATGGTTACTCAAACGGTGGTCCTGCTTCCTGCTTTCTACAATGTTTCTCTTTTAGTTAGTTAATATACTAAAATGTGGGCTCCCTCCAAAAATCTATTCTTGTTTAATAGGTTTCTGCAATTAAAATTTAACCTCTGTATTAAAAATATTTAAGCCGCATTGTACAGAATGGTAGATGATTGGACCAATTGGCTTATGTATAAAGGTGGAGTTGGTGTCGAAAGTGAATACGGCTGGGAATCTTGGTGGGATGAAGAGCAGGTTTGGCCTTATGAACTTGATTAATAAATCATATATAAATGAGAATCGAGTAAATGTAAATGATCAGAATAAACAACACATTTTTATCATTCAGATGGTTACATTGAGTGACATGTTTTTTATTTCTAGTATGTTGCTGGACTTTGCTTTCTAACGACGAAAAGATCTATTTTGTGGTATATTTTCGTCATTTGCTTTTACCTTAGTTATATTTTTTGTTTAGGAATTTAAGAGATTAATCCAGTTTCCTTCTGACATGTAATAATTCTCTACACCTTTAACCCCAGACTATATATCACATCTTATTATTACACATCCGAAGATTATATAGTAGAAAACTGATAAAGCACACAATACAGTAGCATTTATTTTAACTACAAGAATATAACCCCGATGACAACTCCGACGAATAATCCAAATCCGTAGCCCATAACAACACCTTGCCAAGTAAGTCCATCAAATATGCCCCCAGCTTCATCCTCGCCATCTTCTTGTGAAGGCAACTCATTTTCGTCCTCACATGTCTTAGTCAATGGATATCCACACAGCTCCGAATTTCCAATATATGAACTATTCTCATATGTATCAAACTGGCTACCAGAATGAGGTATATGTCCTGAAAGATTGTTGTGTGCTACACGAAACGTGGATAGATATGATAGGTTTGTCAGCTGCACCGGAATCTCCCCTTCCAAGCCATTCCACGACAAGTCCAATGCTTCCAGAATTGTTAGAGACCCCAGAGTTTGAGGGATATGGCCTGTGAGATTGTTGTGAGACAAATTTAAGTGGCGAAGAGCTCTAAGATTTCCAAAGGAATCCGGAATGTTTCCATGGAACTTGTTTCTAGAAAAATCAATCATAGTGAATGTTGTTTGTATCCTAGCATAGTTTGTCGGCAAACCTTTCAAAGTAACAATTTCTGAGATAGAACCACACATGCATATAGGGCCTATATGATAGTTGACATCAAAATAGACTTGCGTTTCTCTCTCTGCATCCAATACCTCACCAAAATGCTTTAAACAAGTAAGTGGCAAGTAGCCAATGAAATCGTTGTTGGAGATGTCCAAAATTCTCAACATAGGAAATGAAATCTTCCTCTCTGAATCAGGTATTGTGCCGTAAAATCTGTTGGAACTTAAAATAAGAATTCCAAGCTTCGGAAGAGTTTCCAACCAAATAGGAAAAGTGTCTTGCATGCCATTGTATCCAATATCTAAAGCCTGTAATTGTGCGCAATTGGCCAAGGATTTAGGCAAGGTTCCTTCCAGTCGATTGTAGCTCAAGCTAAGATACTGCAATGCACAACCATTGCTAAATGTTGTTGGGATGGGGCCATGAAAGTGATTTTCCGACAACTTCAGAACCTTCAGAGCCTCACTGAAATTCCATAAACAATTTGGCAGTGTTCCTTCCAAACTGTTAGATGATAAATCGAGAACTCCAATTGAGCTCAAGTTGCATATGGATGCTGGAACCACCCCCGTCAGCGTGTTGGAGTCAAGTAGCAGACCTGTAAGACTCCATAGATTTCCAATGGAAGACGGTATTGTACCTGAAAGTAATTTGATAATAAGTTACTGCAAATTACCTCTCATTATAAGGATAATTAGAGACATTCGACTCTCAAAGCTTAAAAACTTAAAAATACTACCTGTTAACATGTTTTCTTCTAAACTCAATGATTGAAGTATGTTTGTGTTCTTGATATCTTGTGGAATGGATCCTGTTAAGTTGTTATTCCCCAATTCTAGGACATTAAGGTGAGGGCATGAAGAAAAATTTGATGGAATACCTCCATGAATCATATTATAATTTAAATAAACCAGACTGAGCATGGGAAGTCCAAGGCACATGTCTTGTGGAAGAGTACCAGACAAACGATTACCCCCGAAAATCATGCTCTGAAGGGTAGATAAGTTGAAAATACTTTGTGGTATAGAGCCTGCAAATATTTAATTCATCTTAGATGCCAATAACATGGACATATATAAATAAAATCATATATACCTGTTAAGGAGTTCTTGGCAAGAGACAGCACTTGAAGCCATTGTAACCTTCCAATATCTTCTGGTATGTTGCCAGTAAAATTGTTACCAAGCAATCTTAATTCTTGAAGTTGAAGGCATGAAGAAAAGTTTGATGGAATTCGTCCTTGTATCATATTTTCTTCTATATAAAACTGTTTCAGTCGTGGAAGTCCAAGACATATGTTACTCGGGAGAGTACCGGATAAGTTATTTTTGGAGAGGAATAATTCTTCAAGCGTTGATACGTTGAAGATGCTTGAAGGTATAAAACCAGAAAGCTTGTTTTCATGCATGGACATATAATGCAAGTTCTGAAGGCTCCCGATAATGTCTGGTATCGTCCCTTCAAGAGCATTTCCTTGCAAATCCAATACCTCTAAATTTGTCAAGTTCTTGATTGACAGTGGAATTCGTCCTGTTATTCCATAAAATCTGTTATTCTTTCGCTTTTATTGATCTTTAATAGCTACTAATACTCTCTACCAAATTTTCAAGTGGATCAAATTCCATAGAAGCTAATGAAAACAATATACTACCTAGAATCTCATTTACTTTTTGCATTTTGATATTCAAATATTAATTATTATATCAAAATATATTACAAATTAAGAAAAAATTGTAAAAATATTAGTATAATACTAATAGAAAATATTTGTATAAAAAATTATACAAAGGATATTTTTAATGTTAAGTAAAATAAGGCAAAAGACAAATGTGACAGTTAGCAAGGGAGTACTTCATATGTTTTATACCTACAAAGCTTTCTTCAAAATAAATAAATATGTATTAATATTATGTACATATACAAATAAACCTGTGTACTCTCGGTTGAATTTGCAAAGACAAAAATTAAACAAATCATTTAAATGCATGAAGCCACTAATAATATGTGATTATTTATGTAACTACATACTATCAAATAAAATTAGATAATAGAACTGTAATAGTAATTATTTATTTTGTTAAGTATATATATATTATTTTTCTCATAATATCTATCAAATTAGTTTGTTTTAATAATAGTCGAAAATTTCAGTTTCAAGTTTTATTGTTTGTTTTTTTTTTAGGTTCTAACCTTATAAACATAATCAATACTTTCAAATAAAAGTAGTAAAAATTGACAAATAAAATCATACCTGTTAATGTGTTGTTCCTAAGTTCGAGCAATTTAAGTATCTTTAAATTCTCAATTTCTTGTGGTATCATCCCACTAATGTTGTTGTTTGACAACCACAAAGATTCCAAATTTGTCAAATTCATGATGGAAGAAGAGATAGACCCTGAAAAGCCATTGCTTTCCATGGCAAGTACTTTGAGATTATGAAGATTGCCTATTGAATTTGGAATTTCACTTTGAAAAGGATTGAAAGATAAGATCAATGACTCAAGCTTTGATTCATTTGAAAATGATTGGATAAATGAATTCAAGCTTGTAAAATTGTTATACGCAATAGATAAGTATTTAAGACTAGGAAATGAAGAAAGCCAAGAAGGAACTTCCCTGTCAAATTTGTTGTAACTCAGTCTGATATAACTCAATCTTCGCAAACGAGCTAATTCTATTGGAAGAATCCCATTAAAGTTGTTTTGTTTGATGTCAAGTGAAACAAGGAATGATAGATTCCCGAGTTCGGGAGGAATACTTCCAGAAAGGCCTAGGAAAGAAATATTCAATCCTATTACTCGATGATGGCGGATTCCACAAGTGACACCAAACCAATTGCAGACAGAAGATGTAATGGTCCAATTGTTGAGTGTTCTATAAGGGTCGACAGAGATGTGAGATTTCAAGGCAAAAAGTGCGGATTGATCGGTAGCTAGATTAGTTTTAGCTATAACATTAATAGAGGATGATAGAAGAAGATTCAAGATTAAGACAAGAAGAAAATAATTGAAGTGAGAATAATTCACCTCCATAGCACTTTTCATTGCTTGAAATTCAAAGATGTAGAGATTGCTATTATGGTGAATGTTGTGTATATGATGATGAAGATCACAAAAATGGATTATATATACAACTGAGACTGAGGTCATTATACTACAAAGTGGATAGAGATTTTAAAATACTCGCTAAGAATCATCAAGAGTCGTCTAGTCTTTTTTGGAGTCCTGAACAAAAATAAATTATAGGCCCAACACATGATTAAAATGTATTTTCAAAACAATATAACTAAATGACATCGATTAGACAAGATGTCGAACATGAGGTTTGGGCAGTATCGATTTGAGAAAAGAAGGTGAAAAACAAACTGTCCGGGGTTTGAAAAACGAGAAAGACTGAGAGAAGGCGAAAGAGAGAGAAAAGATAAATGAGGCGCGTTTAGTCTGAGCTGGTGGGCGCAACGCAACAGGGTAGGAGGCAGAGAAGTATAGACGAAGATTAAATTTAAAAACTATTCGGTGAAGTATGATTAAGAAGAACATCTAGCAAAAAGTATATGATAAGAGTTTAAAATTTAATTTTAAAATTAAATTGGATAATTATGAAGAAAAAAAATATAAACTAAAAATTTAAATTTAATTTTTAAAATTTTATAATAATAATGATTAACTTTTTAAACCCTCTATTAGTTAAGGGCTGAGTAGTTGCTCACTCTACCCCTGTTATGACCGGCCCGTGGAAATCATACACTTTGCCCAACTATTTTATGTCCATTTATACTATGCATGACAAAGACTTCAAGTGAATGTGGAAATAAATACAACATCATATTGGCCACAAGATTGGGAACTTTCTTGGCAACTTTCACTTATATACTAAATGCCAAAACCATTTCTCCTCAATGCCATGGTAATAGGAAATGAGACAGATCGAAGACACCGAGTCATAAAGAATACTACCTACCTATATCATTATTTTACGATCCTTTGATACTCTAAGTGTTAAAAAAATAATAAGAATAATAATTTTTTGTTTGAATATAATTCTACTTATTTATCGTTCTATATATATATTTTTTACTAGTTTATAAATATTTAAAAGATATATATATATATATATGTAAGTGAAAATAGACAAAAAAATTAATCTAAACTATGAAACAAAAAAAAGCAAAATAACCAAAACTAAGAAAAGGTATATTAGGACATGTAGTTGTAATTAAAGTATAGATAGTCAAATATTCACCAATCTTATACATTGATTTATATAGTAAATTATTTATAAATCTTATACATTAATTTATATACTCCCTCCGTCCAGTGAAGGATGAATCCTTTTGTTAGGAACCAGGTATTTTAGGTAACGTAAATTATTAAATTATTAATAATAAGTTATGAAAATATTTTATTATTTTTTATATGTGTAGTTTTGTTCATATTTTAAATATCTTTAAAATTATATCTCAATATAATATATGCAATATAGATATTATTTTCTAGATAATAAAATTTTATATAATACAAATGAAAGAGATAGAAATAAAAGGGTTTTGAGTGGGTCTATGTAAAATGTTAGAAGTTTAATTATATTTAAAATTGATAAACTTACAAAAATGGAAAGGAGTCATATTTTGTGGACGTACCAAAAAGGAAATTGAGTCATCTATGACGGGACGGAGGGAGTATTTTTTAAAAAGTTATCTAATTTTTTTTTTATCCAAAATTTTATTTCAAAATTTACAAAAAAAATTATATGACCTCCTTTATTATTTATAGGATATTTAAATGGATTTGATCTGAAAATACTCCTATAAGTAAAAAAATTTCGTAAAATAGTCCTCACACGTGGCGATAACATGTCATCCGCGTCACATCAATAATGGCTGCCAGCATAGCGAATTCGGCGCCAGATGATCATTTTAGCGAAATTTTTTTATTTACGGGATTATTTTCATAGACCCTAAATTTTGCAGCTTTCCAACTTAATTCCACCCCTATAATTCCTCCTTTCCATAACTAATTTTTGAATAAAGTTTGACTTCATTTCAATGTGGGCCTTATGGCCGGGATCATGACTAGGGGTGCGTTTGACAATTAGCTGATAGCCGTTAACTGATTCAATTAGCTGATATCCGTTAGCTGATTCAATTAGCTGGTTTGACTAACTGATTCGATTAGCTGTTTGTATTAAAATGTTTGGTAAAACAACTGTTTGATATTAGCTATTTATACATAAAATGACAATTGAGGACATTTCTATTTTATTTTTGTTTATAATATATTCAATTATGTTCTTTTGAGTTTAGAATGTTTAAATTTTTTTGTTATTAGTTATTGAAAATTGTAAAAATGTTATAAAAGTATTTATTTTTTATTAGAGTTAGATTTAAAAAAATAATATATCTTTATTAAAATATATAAATAGTTTTTTCTATTGAAAATGATATAAAATATAAAATAATAAATTTTTCGTGTATGTATTTATTATGTTAGTTATCGATAAGTTCATTATATTTATAATTTTCAATAAATTTAATTTATTTAATTTAGTTTTAGTATAAAATTTATATAATGTAATTTAATATAAAAATAAATTATTAATATTAATATTTTATATTTTATGTTGATTTTAATAAATTTATATATTTTACAATTAAAATAATTTATATATAAAAATTAATTATTTTAAATTTATAAAAGTAATAAAATATTCTAATATAATCAAAAATATATTTATTTATGTAAAATGCATAATAAATTTTTAAGGACATATAAGGAATGAAAATTTTTTTACAGAAAAACCTATTTCAAAATATTGGGTAAGTTAGCTTTTTAGAAATTAGTTTTTTGGGTCCAAAAAGCTATTCGAAAAAGCTAATTTACCAAACACCTAAATTGACTTTTTAGCTGGTCAAACAGCTAAAAATTGTTCAATAAGCTAAAAGCTCTTGAAAAAGCTATTTGCGAAACCACCCCTACATTTTTTTGTCTCTTTCTTGATTGCATTGGGCTAAATATATGTGGAGTGTTTTTGTAAGACACAGTTATATAAAAATATTATTTAAATAAAAAATTGAATTCAAATCTCTTTTTGAATTTTGTATTATTCCTTGTATTTTGTGTTTTACTAGTGCCTTGATTTGATATTTAGTTAAAAAAATAATATTTTTTTCGTCCCGAATATTTTATCCGTATTACTGTAGATACGAAAACTTAGGAGGGGTATAATTAGTAAATAATTAAAAATATATTAGTAAAAATAATTATCGTATAATAAAAATAATGATAGATAAAGATTAAAATAATTAATTAGTATAATTAAAATAAAAAAAAATTATAATTAAATTTTTAAAAATAAAATTAAAGTGTATAATTATTTTTTTTAAAAAAAAGTGAGAAAATAAGTGCGACCAATGAAAATGAAAAGGTGGACATAAGACGTGGGACCGAGAGAGTAATATATATTTATATTTATGTGTCGAACGAATACAATAAGAACAAAATAATTAAGAATAACTAATCCCTTATAATGTGGATGAGAACGACGCATTATATTTCCTCTAAAGGACGTCAACTAATCCATCACCAATGACTTCCAAGTCAATGCGGGAAAAAAATGAGATAATTTGGGCTACGTGAATTAAACAAAATCAAATCCCCTGTTCCCAATTCTCAATATTCTTAATAATAAAATAATAACAAGTGAAAAAGAGAGAATATAAATAAAATTTGAAATTTATGTCTCCTCCGTCCCATTGAAATGTTGTCATTTTCTATTTTCGTCCGTCCCAAAATAAGGTTTTCATTTTTTAATTTAATAATTGTACTATCTACCTAACATAATAAATATCCTTCCAACTTACATTATATTACACAAATACCATTACTTTTATATTACACAATACTAATAGAATTATTTTCGTCCTTTCTACTATAATCTATTATAATACTAATATTCAAAAATCTACGTGCACGGCAACCTTGTTCCGGGACGGAGGGAGTATTTTATTCCTCTAAATATATATCTTGTTATTTATCAATTTATGTATTTTCAAAAATAAATAAAAATTAAAAGATTTATTCAAGTATTTTTTCTATCGCATCAACATGTCAATAACAATTGTTTTTATTCACATCCAAGTCTACATCAATAACCGTAGTATTTAAAATATAACAGGATAAACTATTTTTTAGTCTCGTAACCGACTCTTTTCTTATTTTAGTCTCGTAAGTGGAGCATATTACAAACTAGTCTCATAAAGAAAATTTTTGTTGTTTTAGTCCTCTGACGCGGAGACGCCCGCGTGGCTCGCCGGAAGCCACGTGTCAGTCAGGTGTCCCGCCAGGTCAGCAACACCTGGCGGACACGTGAATTTTATTTTAGTTTATTTTATCATTAATTTTTTTTTCAATTGGACCAAATAAAAAATTAAAAAAGACAAACAAATTTAAAAATCAATCTAAAATCAATTTTTAAAAAATTGTTGATGTAATTTTTCAACAAAAATAAAGTAAAATTCAAAGATATAGAAAATATCCTTAAACTTGATTAATTAGTGCCTGAGATTAGGAATCTCTAAACACTGTATGGTACAGAAAATAAACTGGAAAATAAAAGACTGAAATTTAAAGTGGTGATCCCCAAATCTGACTTTGCTTTGTTGAAGTTGATTGAAGATGCCTTGTCAAATGATGATCCAAATCCTTAAATATTCTCTGGGAAACCGTACCGAAAACCGTCACCCGAACGGTTACAACGTCTCCTTCCTAACCGTCTTCCAACCCTTCTCATGCTGACACGCGTCCCCAGCAGACCAAAATTATCCCTATATTTCACTCTTTGAGTCCGACCACAAACCTTCCGCTCTTTTGGCCCGACTGCCAATCTACAATAGTATGGGTCCGACTGCCAATCCTCCCGACTTGAGATCTTTCCGTCTTGAGGACACCTCCCGACCTAAAAACCTTCTGACTTGAGGTCTTTCCGCCTTGAGGACTTCCGACCTGAAAACCTTCCGACTTGAGGTCTTTCCGTCTTGAGGACCTCCCGACCTGAAAACCTTCCGACTTGAGGTCTTTCCGCCTTGAGGACTTCCCGACCTGAGAACCTTCCGACTTGAGGTCTTTCCGTCTTGAGGACACCTCCCGACCTAAAGACCTTCCGACCTGAGGTCCTTCCGTCTTGAGGACCTACCGACCTGAGGTCCTTCCGTCCTGCTGACTTTCCGTCTTGAGGACCTCCCGACCTGAAGACCTTCCGACCTGAGGTCCTTCCGT